CCGTACATTACCCCTCCTCTCTCTCTCTCTCTCTCTCTCTCTCTGCCGTGCTTTAATTAAAAATATTTTATCGCGCGATAAAATTATCTCAAAGCTGATTTAATGAGGAGCGCGTAAAATGAAACGCGGGAAACGCATTACGGTATCATAATGATCAATGAAACGGTCATGGCAATTCTTTTTCTCGTTACGACGAGGACGTCGATGACGACGTCGATAACGACGACGACGACGACGCCGACGTGACGTTACGAGCATTTCCTTGTCGGTAATTTCAGAGCTTAAATTTATTCTGGCGTAAATCAAACATATTCCACAGGTACTCTTTGTTAATTTTTAGTAGAGCTTACGCGCCGCGGCTCGGCTCCGCGGCTTAATTAATATAGAATTTCTGGGAACTCCGGCGTTTTATTTCCACCGGCGAGCGAAAGCGCCCTGATGTATTGTAGAATTTACTTTCTGCCCCGCTGTTTGGCCAGAGAGAGCGGCAGACACGCGCTCGCGCGAACTCGCGACGTCGAGCGTATTATTCCGCGCGCGGAATTTTACTTAAGTAATATAATTTAAACCGATAGCGCGCATACCGCCGTCGCCATCGTTGCCGTTGCGTTATGAGATGAAGTTCTTTTGTGACGTAACATGTCCGGTGACAATTAATCGGGTCCGGTTGGATATTAACAATGCTGTCATTCACTCACCTGAACAAGAAAATGAAATAATGATCGCTTCTCGGCGGGAAAGGTGACAAAAGGTGACCAAAATAGTGACCAAATGTGACATTTTCTCAAATTCTAAAAGGAACAAAGTCATTTAAGCCAGGAATAACATTTATTTTTATCTTCCCAGATTTATCTTTGGATAGCTTAATATAGGGAGTTTTAATACGATTCGAAAGTTTATGACAAGGAAAGACCAAGGGTGCCCAGTGAGCGAACGGCAATCGACAGCAGACGAGACGGCAAAAATGTACAGAATATCCGGAACCCTTATCTCAATCGCTCGTATAAAGATAGAACGGGTTAAACTGAGCAGAAAAGTCCTCTACCATTTTGCAAACAACCACGCAAAATTTCAAATTATTAATTATTGAAAACGGCCATACATAGTAGTTTCTTTAATTAATAACTCAAAAATCTTACTCGCAAAATGGTACAGGACTTTTTTGTTCAGAGTGATCTAATCTACAAATATATAGCAGCTGTTGTACTTAGCGACAGGTTTAAGATTTGAGGTTGAATATATTGATGTTTGTCGTTAGATGCAACAGCTGTTATGTATTCGTACATTAGATCACTCTGAACAAAGAGGTTCTTTTTTACAAATAAAATGCAAATTTTTAAGTCATTAATTAAAGAAGCTATGGCTATTGTCAATCATTAATAACTTGACTTTTGTGTGCAAAAGTTGCACTCGCTTGCAAAATGGTAGTACCCCCAAATTCGAGATACTAATTTCTAAATGGAAACGACAGTTCGAGTTACACGCTGATACTTTTCCCGGCGTATTAGTACGAGATACACGGGATACACAAGATGAAGAAAAAAAGCCAACGACTGGAAATATTGTTCTTATAAACTTATGATACTTTTATTTAGAAGGTACAAGGATCCCCGCGTGTACTTCGTATACATAGGTACGAGGTACTCATATACATAGGTGAGATGCTTTAAATGTGAAAATAGAAGATGTCATTAACGTAGAATCTAAATAACCCAGTGATAAAGGCGGTCGTCTGGCAAGCAAAAAACCGAGTCCGATCCTAACCGAGTTTGCTTCGCTCCGAAATTCTTCATCTCATATGACATTAAAAATAGACTTCTAGACACAAGCCTGGACGCAAATAAACGTTTTTTAACCTTCTTTCCAGTATTTCTGAAGTATTGAAAATCGATAAATGTACTACCAATCAACTTGTACCAGCTCGTAATATATCTCCTTATAGTGAAGACATTCTGATTTCGAGGTACTAATATGTCTCTTGTAATTACATAGAGTTTATATTTCAACGTGTCCAATTCTTGGCGATACATAATTATATACCTTTACACGAACGATTGAGAGAAAAATTCCGGACGTCCTGTATATGACACATAGACTACATTTTACAAATTTAACGACAGGAGAAAAAAATGGCTATAATAACCCATTTTCGACGATAGTGAATTTTTCAGTGACTTGAAAAGTTAAGAAAAAGTGACAAAAGTTGACTTACAAGTAACTAGAGCGCTGGATATTTGGGAAAAAGTCAGACGTAGATGTCCGCACGCGGCTGTTGGACGCGTCCGGCAATCAGGTCTGGCCGCGAGTTAATTGGGGGGCAGCAATTACTCATCTGTTTTATCGCGAAATTGAGACTGCCGGCGTTGACAGAGATTTCGAATCTAAAATGCGATGCATTAAACAAAGGGCCCCCGCGGCGAATGGGACATTAATTCACCATTACGTCATGGTAATCAAGTTAAATTTTCACAATGGGGAACGAATTTCATCCCAGTTGTACTGGCTGCCGCCATCAATTTTGCAGGTGCGCATGACGTTTACAATTCGCCCACATTAATTATTCCGCGAGTTCTCAGAATTCCGACGCTTCGCGCCTTCCGACTCGGATAGCGCGCGCATCGCGTACATTTTACATACAGATCCACTTATCTGCACGGGGATTTCCGCGAAGACTCGCCGATCGGGGAATCGCTCGCGTGCGAATTAGCGGGAATCGCGAGAGAATGCGGGTCGCGACGCGTTCGTCTGCGAGCTTACGGTATCCGTTGCGCGGGACCTAACAACAATCGAAGTCGCAAACGAGAAAGAAACGGGGAACGAACGTTCCCCGTCCGTGAATCCATCGGTATCCATTATTAAAGAAATATCGATCGAGGGAAACAGCTCCGCCCCGAGCTCTTCACCGGCACACGCGCGCTATAGCGAAATTTTAATTTATTCATCGCTAATCTAACCCAGTTTCCCCACTGCTATTGCCACGTTAAGACGATAGCGCAATGGGACGTCATTTCCCCCCGTCCTTCACTATTTCGGGCCGCGCTTTATCGCGGTACGAGTGTAATTACGCTCGGCAATCTCCATGGCGAACTTCGACCGCGTCTCGTACGTACGCGTTGAAATCGATACCCTCTCCCCCTTGGACGTACACATGCCCACACACCGCACACATGTCCACACCGACATATACCGGGTAACCGCGCGCGACGTCTGACTTCCGCACCGGCCGCAAACTTGAAGTCATCCGTACGGAGAAAGTAATTGCGCAAACTTTCGCCGGTGTCGGTGACGTTTAGCGAGCGTTAAGGCTCGTTATTAGCGAGCACGTGCATATTTCAGTGGCAGCCGCGTTACAAGCGCGCGGCTGCCTGCATTCGGACGTGGGGACGTTACCGAGTCTCACGGGGGTTGTTCTCTCTCGCGCTCGCTCACCCCCTACCCCGATCGATATACCCCGAGGAAAGACCGTGGAAACGACCAGCGCTCTCCTGACTAGACTGTACGACTAGACGTTGTATGTACGATCTGCCTTCGTTATCCTTATCTGAGACGGTCGCGCCGTGCGCGGAGACCGATAAAACTCCAGGCCTGCGATTAACGTTGCCCCGCGCTAATTCGCGACGGAAAACTTCGCTCGAAAACACCCAAGTTCCTGGATAGAAATTTAAAACGCGCACTGGAAAGGCTCTATACAATGTTTCCCCCCCGCTTGTATCTAGGTTTTGTAAAGGCAAACCTATTTAGCGCCCCATACGGAAATGTAACGCTCGTACAAATTAGGGCCAGACTTGTGAATCTAACCGGACCCTTGATGATCTTGACATGTTTAACTAGGCTCTATCTAGACTGACTATATCTTGTCGTGCAATTAATAATTTATAAGAAAATTCAAATGCGGACTTGTGTTGCCTGTTTGTGTTCCATTTTATTTTGTTCTCTATTTTCTATTTAAAAAATTGTATTATTCTATTTTCCAAATTTTCTACTTACGAAATACTAAATACAATTTTTGAGAACCAAAATCAAAGTTAATTAATTTGGTCTTATTTCGACTTTATTATGGTGAATTTCACACCGAGTCTCTTTAAGATTTCACTTTAAACTACTCGGGAATTGATTAACTAGCCCTGACAATGATGAGCGCAAACTTGTATTAAGAACATTCACATCAGCGCCTGCTCAAGGCCTATTCACGAAATTCCAGATCTCAGATCTCATTCCAATCTCAGAATGAGCTTTCTTGGCTATACCTAGGCCCAATGAAGGCAAGCCTATTTTGGAGTATATCTACTTAGAGCCTCTACAAACTTGAGGCACACCTCGATTAATTTCTACCCGGGTTGAGATAAAAAAAATCGTTGCGTCGCATATTCCCGTTTCTTACTTTTTTTACCCGAACCATTTCCGGTTTGCAAATCGCGTCCATGAATTTGGGAAATTTAATAAGCGACATTTTGATTTTGATAATCGACCCGGAATCCCGAAAAAAGCTGGGTAATTCGAAACGGCTAATTTCGGCACGCCTCAATGTATGGAACTACGTCAATAATGTGGCGCGAAGCGCCGCAAAACGACGAATATATCGAAAATTCGATTGAATTGCGAAACGTCGGCGGACAGAATTAATCGAGGTGGTCAGAAATATAATTTTCGGCGGATTAATTCGTCGTCGGCGAATTTTATCGGCGCATTTTCGAAAGGCGCGTCCGTGAGAAGCGATCCCCCCCCCCGGCGATTTTTTCGTGACCGGCGGCCGAACGTATCCGGAATTGATGCACGATCGTGTCGCGACGTTTTATCGTTCTTTGCCGTCGTAAACACGTCCCCTTCTTCTTTCCGTATCTTCGCCCTTCCGTTCCTGTAACCGTTCGCGCTCATCGTCCCGTTAACGTCGATGAAAACGCCGATGATCGGCGGTGCGTTGACACGAGGCAACTTCGCGCGAACCAACTTCGAGGCATGCGCTGCGCGAGTTGTCCCAGAAAAATCATCCGAACACTTACCCCTGTGACTGCCGGTGATCTTGTCCCGCAGGATATTTATTTGGTGCACTCGGCCGTACTCCTCGAACATCGTCCTCAGGTCGTTCTCGTCCATGTCATGAGGTACCTGACCCACGAACATCTTTATGTTGTCCGGGTCCGGCTGCTCCACGCTGTTGTTGTTCATTACGCTGTAACGTGAAAAAGAAGTTTATACGCTGTGGTACGTGCGGCGTATTAAACACGCGTGTCTGGAGAAAAACTACATGCCGTTATTAACGTGTTAACGGGTCGGGGACCGCCATCGCACGCTTTATCAGTTCAGACTTACCGCGGTGGTGAATAACAAGTAACTTTTACACCGAGTGTTTTTCTCCATGCAAATAATATTATACGGAATATTTGCGTCTAATCATCGTGTTGATATTCCACGCTCGCTGATCGAACCACAAAAATCTTAGAATTATTAGGGATTCACAATAAATTAGAGAAAACTAGCAGCTCTTAAATAAACTGAAAATGTAAGTGAAGGGCCGTGAGAAGCTCAGGCATAGAAATAATAGGGCTATAAATAAAGAAAAAAATCTTATTAATCTTTCGATATATAAACAGGCTTAAATATATTTATTAGATATAATATATTAGATTAATCATCATAACAACTAAACGGACTTCAGTCATAGGCCCTCTTCGGTAACATGTATTATTGGTTCATAATTGTTGTTGTCAATATTACAGACGTGCTACTAAAGAAGATCTAGCATATATGATCGGAACGTTTAACTATTCTGATAATTTTAACATATTATTTATAATTAACATATTTAGACCTGTTCATATACATATATATATATATATCGAAAGATTGATATAATTTGTTTCTTTGTTTATTAATATTATTATTATTTCCATGCTTCTCCTCAGACCCTTCATTTACATTTTTAGGAATCCACATTAGCGCGGCATGCAAAGAAGCGTATATCGCGAAATCGCATCATCTCTCTTATTTTTAATTTTAAATAATATTGAGAGGTTATACACATGTTTATCAAATAATATTCCCCGATAAAAGTATGAATTGGCGGATAAAACGATTCCGCGAGCCGGCACATTCGGCCGACTATTTCGCGAATCCAGAACCCAATCGGCTATTTTGATTGGACGCGCTGCAAAGCGCGAAATATTCTCGCGGGCACCGCGCTCGTTAAACGAACGATTAAAATATTAAGCACTTTATCAGCGCGCAAAGTGGAGCGGAGGATGATTTCATTGCGGCGACGTATGACCGCGAATGGCCGTAAAGTGAGTTAGAAGTTATCGTATTGGAAGCGGAAAAATATTCGGCCGAAATATTTTGCAGACATGTCCGCCCCGGCGAATGTGGGTATATATTTTATATACGGGGCATGCCGCTGTTATTGAATATCGTTTCAGCTGCAGGCTGACAAATTTGAAGTAGATTTTCCGCTGGCGAAAATTTGATGGGTGTCCGTCAACGGCGTTCCTAACGCGTTCCTGACTTTTCATTTTCGATATCCGCGCGTAATTAAATGCGAATAATGCAATTTCCGTTTAGCGGTAACGCGATCAAAGCAAAAGAAGGCGTATTTGCAGAATGATATTTGGTTAATCGACGCCGAATTAATTGGACGAGCAGGCGTTGTGAGAAAACGCGGAGGCGCATCGGAACATCCCCTCCCATTCCTCCCTCACCTTCCGTGTACGCGGACAGGCGTGCACGTGCAACTAGTGCAATTCGGCGTATTGCGTAACGTGCGCTTGCGCATTTTTCGGCCGAATATTTCGCCGAGAGCCCGCAACACACTCACTCCGGCCGAATGGCGGGATTAACGTTGCATTTTGCGCAGCGCGACTGCATGCGACGTATGTCGCGATGGATATTTTAGCACGTATAGTTACGAACAGCGCAAAAGACTGCCGCTGTGTGTTTGGCTACCCCAGAATACATATTTGACCGCCCGAGCGCGCCGGAATACGTCCGCTTTTCGAAACTTACTCGCGAAGCTTTTCGCCGGCACGGCGGTTATTTCGCGCGGATTATGCGTGTTTGAGGTCCTTCTCTCTTTCTCTTCCTCCCCGGAGGACGCTGCTGACGCGTCATCCTTCGATCGCGTCACACGGACTCAGCGTTGCGCGTTGTCGGACCGAGACAGGAAGAGAGAAAAAGCTTCCCGTTACTCGCGAGTTTCTCGTAATTTTAGGATCCGCCCCGCGCGGATCGCGCACGCATCGCCCTCCGCCAAATATTTTCGCTCTCAACGGCTGATTAAAATCCGATACCCGAGTCAATATTTTCCATCCTGTCGGGCGCTTCCGCCTCCCCCTTCCCTCCCACGCGAAAACCTACAAAACATTAATGTCCGGCTTTAATTCGCGTTTTTTTTATTGCCTCGATGAGTTGCTCGCGAACGCGTGTGCTTGTGTAATTTTCTTGACGATTATACGGGAGACCGGGAATATCTAGCTAGCTTTTAAGGGCTTTAAGGGCTGCATACATCTAAGCGGTTCGAAAATGTTTGAGTTTTTCTTCTAATCACGTTATTGACTTTATGACGTCATCGCTAATCGGCAACCAAAATATTTCGGTAACTATTGGATTTATTTAGCTGTAGTTCTGCATAGATATTTAAAACAATTGTTCAGATTATCTAGTCTTCGTCGTAGTCGATTTTTCAAATATTAATTTTTGATAAAATTATTAATATTCCAAATCAAAAGTTTGGTTTCTCGCCACAAAATTTCTTCTCATTCAGTTTAGAAACAAAGAAAAACTGTAATAGATATTGAAAAGTCCTGCGACAGGGACTAGATAGTCTTATTAAAAATATTTATGCAAAACTACGGCTAGATTGGTCCAATGGTCCTCGATATATTTTGGGTCCCGAATTAGTAATGACGAGATTCACGGAAGCAGTAATAACGACGTTACACATCAATTTTATATAATAGGCTCCGTATAATATGTAAATAAAAATATGGAGAAGCAACCCTCAAAAGGGATCCACCCTTCCGTGGAGTCAATAGTGTGTTCGGCAGAAGGGTTCGGGCATTGGGCGTTTTTCGAGCCGCTCGGATGTATGTAGCTGCTTGATTAGAATCGGAGCATGTGCGAGTTCACGTTGTCCCGATCCCGGTGGAGATGGAGGCTTCCGCTAATGATCCGTAAACCAGTTCGACGTCACAGAGGAGAGAGCGGAGAGACTGTCGTGCAGCGAGGTGTCTGTACGTTACCGTGGCGGGGCGAATTCACGGCGAGCGTCGAGTTAATTAGAGCTTCACTTTGACATTCGTTCAATCGTGCAGCGTTTCGCGAAGAAGCGGAGCAGATGCGCCCTGTCGTTTTTTTGAACACACTGTATAGGCGCCGTGGCGCTTTTAGCGGCCGGTTAGCCACCTCGCGTGAGTTACGCTCGTCGTGGAATGCAGCCGGTTATACGAGCGGAAGGCATTACTGTTTCACGCTGCGGACGCGACAGTTTGTTGCGCCGTAAAATCGCTCGCATAAAGTTAGCCGGTTTGAAATAGTGACCCGGATCGCGCCGCCGTTCTTTCGCCTCGCACCGTCCTTCTTCTCCCCCTCGCCTTCTTCCACTTCTTTCTCCACCCCTCTCGCGCCGCTATAAATCACCGAACTTCAGAAGTCATCGTCCCGGTGGCACGCCTCGCGAAAGTCGAAAGTTCGAGATCGATCGCGCGCATGGTATGCGCGCGAGGTAGTTAATTACACGCGACCTTGGAGTGTCGTGACTACCGCCCGACGACGAGCTTCATCGTCCGCGTGGTTCGCGCATCGCCCACCTACTCCCCCGTTACAAAATTCCAGACGCATCGATCGCGAGGGGGGAAAGAGAGAGGGAGAGAGGTATCGGCAAGATGGAGGGAGGAAAACATTCGGCCGTTTGTGGGATAAAACGAAGTTTACACAAAGCCGGCCGGTCCGAACGGCAAATAAGGAAATTTCGGTGCGGCCCCTCGGGAAGGGAAGGCTTTCACGATCCCGACGGCGGCGGGGTGCACGATGCGAGGGGGAGAAAAAAAGAGTTCGAAGAATTTCGCGAAACGATAGGAGAAAGTTAATATTAGTCGGCGCGGTTTAAAGCGATTTTCCGGCCGAGCGGACGCTCCCTCATCTCGGTCTATGGAGTGCAGGTCTCGGGGAACCAGGGGGAGAGAGAGAGAGTGTGTGTGAGAGAGAAAAGGAAAACATGAGGGAAATAAGAGGGTGTCTGTTATGTCGGCGAGCTCGCATCTCCCTTGCCTTTCGCGGCAAGAGACGGGGGGGCGGGTTAACTAATCGAAGAAGCGACTAAGTTAACTAAACGAGAGAAGCTCTATTCCTGGCGAGTCGAGAGAGGCGATCGGCAATCGCTTCCTCCGGATTGGTCACGTGCCAGGATCCGCGCGATGGCTTCTCGATTGGATTAATCGAGATTTATCGCGGAGTTCCGCAAGGGGGAAATCTCTCGCAGCACCCCTGGCCCGGGAGATACGTGGATGTATATAGCTTTGTCGGTCGCGGACCGGCGCACGGAATCGGAATGCGTGTAATTAAAATGACGCGTCGAGATTGACGAGTTAATTAAAACACTAATAATGACGGGCGCGGCGGGGCTGCACGAGCAATTAAATCGCCCGATGCAGGCCCGTTTCGATCGCGCTCGCGGTTAAAAGTTCGTCGGAAAGTTGGTCGTCATAGTCGTTGCCGTCGGCGGTCGCAGCCGTGAACGCGCGAAGCCCGGTCGATGGACCTTGGCGCGAGCGGCACCGGTAATTACAGCGTGTTTCCCACCGGAAGAGCGGGACAATAAATAATTACGAATTTTCGTAACGGCGCTAAATTTTCATTGCGCGGCGCGCAACTAATTACGGAAGCGTGCGCGACGTTCTTGACAACGGCGTAGAGCAAACTGTAAATTAGCCCTCCAGCAGCAGTTGTGGTATCCAACCAGTTACGGTCACGTCGAAATAATCAGCGTTCGCGCCGTCCACCGGGCGGACTTTTCCATCGTCTTTTCGCCGAGCGTGCTTCTCGGCGTTCACGATTTACCGCTCAGCGAGAGATTTTCTCTCCCCGGGGCGCCACGATTTAGCAGGAGAATTCGGCGGTGCTCTCCTTTGAAATCTCGAGAACGTTGAGACTCGACTCGTCCCTCCACTGTCGGATATCCGA